CAAGGCGATCAGAGCTGCAATGGGTGTCCCGGCGTACACATCTGTCGATTTTACTCACCAAAAAAGTAGCATTCCAAGAATCAAACAATATGCCAAGACACTACTTGAACAATCAGTCGCACGCGCCCAGCTACAAAATGACGAACAATTTGAACGACTTCTTCGTGATATCTTAACCTCTCTGTGAAAAACACAAAAAAACAACAACAAATAGATAAGATCATATCAGATCAACGACTTCTCTTTCTCTAGGCAAAAGACTTCGGTCAAGCGCCCGTCCGTTGTATCTTCAGTTTTTATCTATTGAATAAAGACCTGGAAACCTCATACAGCGTTTAATGCAGCATTTTCGCTATATAAGAGTTACACCTGAAATGCGCCCCAAGATTTTTAATAGCGGTTTGTCGTAGAGAGTTCATTCTTTTTTTGTTTAAAAGAGGAAAACAAACTACATCGACTGACCGGCGTCGATTTTTGAATTAGGTCTTAGTTTTTTGTCAAACCGAGGATTTTCAGAAAATTCGGAAGGCTTTTTCGAGTTTCACAGGGTGTTGGTTGCCTGGAAAACTAATAAAGGCTTAATTGAAAAATCGGCGCCGGTCAGTCGATGTAGTTAGGTGTCTAGTTTAAAATAAAACAAACCCGAACTCTCCAGCTTGAAGTATATTAAAATATCTTGGGACGCCGTTCAGGGTCTTTTTGGACCTTGATCTCTGGAAAACTTCTAAACCGTAACACTTGGAGACAAAAAAATCTTTTCATTCTCATAACTCATTGTGCCGAACATTTATGGAAAGTTTCGTCAAGATTGGATATACGGGGCCGGAGATAATTTCTGAGGGGGGCCCTTAAAGTATGATAGAGTTAACAGCAGCTTTAAATCTTTTTATTAACATTATGTTAATAAAAAGATTTAAAGCTGCTGTTAACTCTATCATATTTCTTCTCAAATGTGTACCCATATCAAAAGAAAATTATTGTATTAAAATGCTGCTTGTACTAGAAGAAGCGGAGACTCTATTTGTTTTTTCTGAAAAGCAAGTTCTTTAACCGCATATATATGTGTATTGTACCTCTTTTTCTAAACAAGAAGAAGATGTTGTTCGAGAAACCTTTTTATTTTCATTAAGCATTTAAAGTTTAAAATCTTGATCATATAATAATTAACAGATAACGTGAAATATTATTCAATTGTTTTGATCGGAAATTTAAAGCTGTAAAATACACACCTGGTCTTTGGTTTTCCAATCCGCTTTGCAAACTCCTTTACGGATGAATGTCTATTAAAAAAACAATGTAAATGATCGTATGCAAAAGAAAAGCTAACGAATTTAATCCAAATTGAAGTACCGTCGAAAATGAAATGCACTATTTTCAAAATTAACGTTGAAGTATATCGAGCATTCAAAAAACTTCTTTTCAAGCAAAGAAATTTTGTGAGAAAGTGCAAGTTCTAACGCAAAACAAAGTGGCTGTGACATTTACTTGTCTTTTAATATATTTATAATTCATTCAAAGTACAGGTGAACTGTTCTTTTATGTGTATTACATACATATTTTTTTAGTTATGTTGTTTTTTTTCTGTTCTACCATAATTAACATATAAATGTTGAGATACAATGAGTTTCATTGAAATAATTACGAACGAATATAAACAATTTAATATTCTTCAATGGTTTTTTATTCGCATTTACTAATTTTACTGTTTTATTTGAAAAGTAATTGTAGCACAATGACAGAATAATATTTGAAGTAAATACTATCGAAAAGATTTAAAAACAGTAAAAAATTGCATATATAAACGATCTAGGATGGTCGGAAAATTATGAATATATTTATATAATATATATTGATACAATATATTATATTTTATTCGGTTGAACAATTAATCAATAAAAGATGTTATGTAAAATTAAAATTATCGAATGAACAAACAGATAAGTTAGAAATTTTTTTTGAATAATTTAAAAATAAAACAGGAGAAACATTTCGTTTGAAAGAAGTATTTTCCAGGAAAGGTGTCGATGCGCAGTTGTTCAGAATCAGATCCCTAAAATATGAACGAGGAATTTTTTCAAAATTCGTTAAAGTGGACTTTTAAATTAAATTTGACTAAATTTTAAAATTTTAATAACCGTATTTTTTACTTTAAAAATCGAGTTTGATGAATTTTGAAAATCCTTTGTTCATACTCCAGGGAATCTGATTCTAAACAACATTGAAAATTCTTGAAAATACTTCCTTCGAGCGAAATTTGGTTCAAGGTGTTTTTAAAAATACTTCTTGCTCCACAATACCATCAGGCAGGTCAAAGCGGAATAACTCAGTCAAAACTTGACCGAATTTTTTATAGATACATCTTGATGTCCTCTATCGACTGACATCAGAAATCACGTTATATGTAGAAATCCGAAAATTTTTATTAAAATTTGAAAAATGAAGCAAAAATCCGAGACTAAACTTAATTTATTAATTGCTCCAAAACTAGTTTCTCCAAAAACAGTTTTGAAATATATACTTTAAAATGTCCTCTACTAGGAGAAACCGAGTGATTTTACTTTCCATAAGAAAACAAATATTGCCACGATGATCAGGAGCATCGATTGTCTATGTGCCATATTATTCTGAGATTATCAGCGTAACAGAAAGCCCGATCCCTCGAAAAATCAAGCAAAATTAAGAGATTGCCTAGATCTCATTTTGTAGAAGTCACTTCGGACTGTCTGCCTATGGAAAAGTATCGATAAAGTGCTAGTTTAGTTTCTGGAAACCCGAGCGAATTTTCCATAGATTCCATAAAAAAACTAGTCTTTAAAATAGTTTCAAGAAATGTCTTTGCTCTCAAAAACCTGTCTTAAAGTCTTGGCTAAACAATAGTGATAATCGCAGCTCTCTCTCGCTTTTCTACCAAAATTTATTCAAAAAAATAACCGGGTGCATTGTACGTTATGTCGATAGTAGATAAAATTCACGAACTACTTTTCATCGTTAAATAAAGCTCATTGATCTAATGGACTTCCCCATTTGTGGCTGTAACACGCGTTTATAAGACTATTATTTAGATTTTCATATGCTAAAGCTTCTGGTGCAGAAAAATGGAATGTTCTAAACAGAAAATTCTAGCGTCTAACGTAACTTACGAAAGATATAGGTCCATAGAGTATATAATATTTTAGAAAAAGATCCACTCAACACCGCAGAAATGTCAGGGGTACATTTCCGATATCTATTTTATTTGAACTGAAGTCAAATAAGTACATGAATCATTTTTTTGATGTAGAAATAGAAGAATATATATAGAAGACCACTGCATTCAAAATTTAACAAATGTGTGAGAAATACGGGATGTTGCTGTTTTAAAGCACGAACTTATCTGTCACAATCGGCAAACAGTTTAATGCAATTTTTATGGATTAGCTAATACAGATACTTCAGTAGACGTTAGTTCTCTTTTATAAACATATAATTCATCAATGGAACCTTGAAATACAATGTTAGGCATATTCGGGCAGCCACAACAACCTAAACTCGATCCAATATTAATATAATTAACATAGCCACTACTATAGAACGATGGTGATGGTGTTGAAACTGTGAATATACCATTAACATATAGCTGAACACCATTTGTTGAACTGTAAGTATAAACAATATGTGTCCATGTATTTATGGATAACTGTGGACCAATAACCGCTGGATAGTTTGAATACCATGTTTGTAACATAATTTGTCCACCCGATGTTAAGCCCATCAAACTTAAACAATGGCCATAACTAACAGTGGCTGAATCGGACATATGAACTAATATACCACCAACAAGTGACACAGGATTAACCCACATTGCTATTGAAAATGGTTTTGCTGTTGTAAAACCCCATTGATAGAAACCATACATTTGAAAATACGATGATGCACCATTAAATCTCAGTGCTTCATTAACTCGTCCGCTAACTGTTGCAGCATTTGATATCGTTCCATTGAGACTATTTGGACCACTGTCTAACGATGGCGATGGATTATCAAATGAAAAATAAAATTTTAATGTTGCATCATCTAATATTTCTCCTGATGATTTTGCACGTGTTGTTATTGCAACATTGTCGATATAACCATTGAAAAAATTAGAACCACGTAAAATAGATGTTCTTCCGATGGTCATTGATCCATTTTGACCTTGATATGGATCGACATTTGATTGTGATATATCTAGATAACCATTTAAATACATTAGTTGTTGTCCTGTTGCATAATTGTAAACATAAGCAACATGGGACCATGTACTGGTCGAAACAACCGTTACACCTGCTAAATAATTAGGTGAAAAACCCATAAATAAACGACTACTACGTAATATCATATAAAGACATAAATTGGTTCCTGTAGTACTTTCCCATTGACCAAATATATCATTATCACCAGACAGTGTCAATGGATATATCCATGCTTCTACTGTAAAACTTGTGTAGGATAAATTAAAAAATGGACTACGAATTGTCACAGATTGATTCAATGCGGATGTTAAATAGAGTGTATCACCAACTCCCCCAACTGGTGTTGGTTGTTGATTATTACTTGTTGATGTGTAATATGTAGCACTATTAACTAACATACCATTGTAAACATTGTACAAATCTTGTGTTGTATTATCAAATGACCAAAATGCAGAGATAACTGGTCCAGTTGGTGTAGTTGTTACAGCTGTCGTTCCTAAAATGATACTTAATTGACTAAAGGGAAAACACAAGAGCCTTTTAGTCTTAAACAGAGTAGCTTTTGATATTAAATGTGTGAGAAAACTAAAATTTATTTAATTTACTTTGTCCTCACTTAGTTTCGTCAAATTTTACTGTCGATCACTGATACCTCGAAAGATATTTAGAAAGCTTTTCTGGTCAATCAAATAAGACCAATTCGTAATGGCGCATAAACATTCGGCTATGCTGATTACGAATGCCGTATTTAAATTGTTAAGATACTTGTGAAGAGCAAGCTACGCAGTAAAAGTAGTTAGTTTAGAAATATATTTTTTCGGCAAACATTTAAATAAACTATATGAGAAAAATATTAACAATTTAATTTATTAAATATTTAACAATTTAACTGATGATCGCAAACAAAACAAAATCGATCAGAATAGAAAATCTCACTATGTTGCGATTCCATATGTCGGAAAACCTAGTTACAATTTTGATAAAGAGGATAATTATCGGCAACAATCCTAAACTTGATCTCAGGGTGATCTATAAAACGCCAAATGTAACTAAACGTTTTTTCCCGCATAAAGATCGGTTGAATAACGAACAATTATCTGGTGTAGTGTATAAAATTAATTGTAAAAATTTCCAGGGTAAATACACCGGAAAAAGTATTAGGCAAACAAGTCGAAGAACAGCTGAACATGAAAAAGACGTAGATAAAGCAAAAAGTGCATTTAGCAAACGCTCTACGTAATAAGTATTTAAAGATGAAAACCAAAGTTTTGAAAGGTCAAATAACCAAAATGTCTGATTCTACAATCGAATACGTAAACGATCTGTAATGTATTATTCTATCCAAGAAGAGTCGATTAATGAATTCAAACCCAAATCAGCATTGGGAAAACATGTATTTCAGACAGGATACTCGATCGATTTTAACAATATTAAAATGATGGCTTGGGATAGTACACACTATCAGTTGTTAGTTAGAGAATCCCTGGCTATCCGTTCTGATCCTCCTCCGCTCAATGGGACCGACCGGTTGGTGCCGCTATACGTGTTTTCAGAAGGTTTGTTGAGCAAAACAACATAAGAAATGAAAAAGAAGAAGAACGAAACGGCTGACTTTTCTCCTTTCTCTCGTCACATTTTTTGTCTTTCTCGACTTGTGGAGAACAAAAATGAATGAATAATAGAATTGTATATATACACTGTAGCGAATAGTAGAAGTTCATATTTTCGTTTCACACTAACTTGTAGTTTGCTTATTTTATTCTATACTGATGATGAATCGGTACCCAGGCAAACTTTTTCTGCGAAAAAAACGCGTTAGAGTGCGTTTAAATTTTCATAGAAACTAACGCGTTTAGCAGGATGTTTTTTGTCACATTCCGGACGTTCAGACGCGTTACTGATCAACGCGTTTCACAGCGTCGATAGTCATCGCGTTAGAGCGCGTTATAATTTAACGCATCTGAACGCCCTAAATGTGACAAAAAACATCCTGCTAAACGCGTTAGTTTCCAATGCGTTTAAATGCGCTAAACTTTTAAATTTGAAAAAATTAAAAATTAAATTCAGAATCGAGCTGACTTGAACAGAGAGTCTTCATACTCTCACACGGCCGTCCACAGCTATTTTGATGTCA